CCATGACAGCAATAGGGGGGGGGTGTTCCTGCCTTGACATAAAAGTTAGAGGGGCAAGGTGACCTCCTCTGAGGCACATAACCACAATTGCCTAAGGCATATGATCACAATGGCTATTCTTCTAAACTATATCTGAAACATTGGGGAGAATTTTCCCAGCTGATTCCCAACTGATTCTCATTGATTTTTGCCAGGGAGATTGTCTCTAATTTCTAAAAGTATTTATTCTGTGATATTTCCTGGAGGCTGTTGCTAGGAGAGTTAACTTTGTTTTCTGCCAACTGTACATTCTGTGATATTTCCCAGTACCTGAATTCAGCTCCCAGTCAAGATGGCTCTTTATTTCAAAATGGGGTTGTACCTAGGCTAACTCAAACTCTTCAAAGGCAGAGGCAGAAGGCAGGCATGGTGGTTGGGTGGTTGGAGCAGGATGCTGAGAGCACACCTCTTGAACCACACCACATACACAAAAGCAAACTAAAAATAGAAATGACTCAAGTCTTTAAACTTTCAAGGCCCACCTCCAGTTATACGCAAGGTTTTCTCAGAAGCCCCAATGAAAAGACAAAGGAAGTGTTAGTTCTGTGTCCTTGTCCAGGAGCATACTTGACAAGGCTGGTCTGGAGCTAGAGCCAGTGTCTCTAAAGAGTCAAAGTTGAGGGTTTCTGGGAACTTGATTTTCCTCCCTGGGCTGTGATTATCAGACCTAAGTTATCAGTGTCTCTGGTATTCTATGTTCTCTTTGCCAACACTGTCTGATTTAGCATTCTGCTGACCTTGACCCATTATCTCCCTAGAAATACTATATATTATGGCTATACTTCTTAAACTTGCTTAGCATTAGTAATCAGCTTATTCAGGACCTCTTGGTTCCTAGTGATTACTTTTTGTCTTTTTTTTTTCTTGTTCCCTTTATTCTTCAGTCCCCAGTCCTCCTGCTGGATGGCTTACCATCCAGGATGCCTTACCATTTGGGACCTTTATTCATCAAGATATGGTCATTTGGTGACATACTTCCTCCAACAAGGCTACACCTCCTTAACGTCTCCAAACTGTGCCACCACCTGGGAAGAACATTCAAATTTTTGAGATATATTCAAACTATTATATTGTCCTCCTCTCTAATCTCCCTCCAACTTGATTACCTACACACACCAAGTCACTTTTCCACACTTATCTTTTTCTTACCCTGCCCTGCTGAACTATGCACTTCTAATGGGTTCTGGTGGAAGAGAATTTATTGTGTTCAGTTGTGACTCCACCGAGAAATCCAGGCTTCAGTGGACAGTTCCAAACCAATAGTCATCCAGATGATCACTGTGAAACTTAATGAGTCTTAAGGCCAAACAGCAGAGATAAACTATGTTCTAATGTGACCCCGATGCAGTATTGAGCACCTACGTTACAGCTGGGCTGAGGAATGCAATAGAAGGAGCAGTACCTAGCAACTTGTGGGCTTGAGGATAACTGGTATACTGTCACTGTTCTGTTGCTGTGAAAAGACCTATTTAATGGTGGCAACTCTTATAGAAAGCATTTAACTGAGGGCTCACTTACAGTTTCAGACGTTCAGTCCATCATTATTATGGTGGGAGCACACATGGTTCTGGACCAGGAGCTGAGAGCTCCATCCTGACCAGCAGGTGGAGATAATGAGTGATTGGGTCTACTCATTATCAAAGCTCCCCGACGCCAGTTACACACTTCTTTCAACAGGCCACATCTCATAATTCTTCTATTCCAACCCAAGAGTTCCACTCCCTTGTGACTAAGCATCCAAACATATGAAGCTATGCAGGCTATTCTTGTTCACACCACCAGAAATGTGCACACTGATATTTGGAGAAATAAGTGAGTATGTGGTGTTGATTTGGCTGGTTGATGTGGTGTCAGAGCTGGAAACATGCTTTTCTCTAGATCATTTTCTTACAAAGAACAAAAGCCTTAATGTGTTGGCAAACATGTCAGCCTCAAGTCCGAAGTGAAAATCTATCATGGTTATAAAGGTAGATTAAAAAAGTCGTCATCATCATCTACCCGTGAGGGCCTCAAGGAAACATCCTAGGGCCCATGATCCAAATAAATATCTGATTTCTACAGTCTCAGGGACTCCACAGGACCCCAATAACCACTGTTTAAGATCTTTAACTTCAGGAACTTCTCATGGTCCTGTACAAATAGCCTTGGAAATTTGTACTTGCTGGGTGTGGGGCAGTAAATCCCCACTCAAAGTAGCCAAACACACAAGATGCAGAGTGTCTTCCAGGGAAGTCACACAAACACTTACAGAGCCCCTGCTCCATTCAACACCAGACAAATAGATATTGCCCGAAACTGAGACCAGGTGGAGACAGAAAGACTCCTACTTCCCACCATGAACTTGATGAGCTTGACCTCGAGTAGTAACAGGAGTCCTCAGTTTGGGGCACTGATGGGCACACAGGATTGCAGCACTAAGCTAGCAGAGTCTACCCAGCCATGTGCTTAGTGTGCTGTGGTGCATGAAGAGTGAACTATGAATGCAGCAATGTGGGACAAGAATGGCAGACCAGCATAGATGCAAGTTTCTGGGAAGTTTGTTTTTTTTTTTTTTTTTTTTTTTTTTTTTAATCAGGGACTACGTTGCTACAGCTGTGACTCGACATCTGACCCATCACAAAAAATAGATGGGATGCCCTACGAAGCCACAAGTCATGCAGTTCATCCCACCAGGAGAGGGCAGCACCCACTCCTGCTTAGACTGGTGCCCTTGGGGAGGATGTGTGAATGAATTCACAGTACTGAGTGTAGGTTTGTTACTTCAAAAGAAACAGCTCATCTGAGGGTGTAGTTCAGGTAGAGCACCTGTTTAGCAAGCAACAGACTTTGGGTTCAACAAATGGAATATCCCATCACTTGTTTTCAGGCCAGGATATCCAGATATGCATGAAAAGGTGAGACAGTGACATACTGGGAATGACTGGTCATAAGTATATGTACAATGAAGGCGTTGGGTTGTTGCTGGGCCTGATAGGTTGTGGGACTATCCCCTTTGAAATGGATGTAGTGAAAAGTTTGGAATACGCTATGCAGTGTGAATTTTCCTGTTATACTCAATGTATAAAAATGATGCATATAGAGAAATAAGAAGTTACAGATATAGGTCATGAAAATTATTGATGTTGATACAAAGAGATATGGTTTTGATCATTGGAATTTGTGGACTCAGGATCCAAAATGGAGACTGCTGGGTGGCTTCTTTAAATCATGTGACACAAAGGAATGGTGTACTTCCTGTGATTTCCCTCATATATGACGCTGAGGTAGAGAATTTTCCTAGAGTGTAGTTTTTGCTAGTGAACACAATAAGATATTCTAAATCCACCCGAATCTAGTGGTTCAAGATTGTAATCCTAGCACTCAGGAGGCAGAGGTAGAATGACTGACAAAAGTTAGAGGCTAGCCTGGTATATATTGAGATCCAGGCCAGCCAGAGCTTCATAGAGCCCAAGTTTCAGAGAGAGAAGGAGGAGGCAAAGGAGGAGGAAGAAGAAGAGGAGGAGAAACAGGAGGAGGAGGAAGAGGAGAGGAGGAATGTTCAGGAATAGTGGTATACACTTGAAACTGCAATGTTTGAGAGGCTGAGGTAGGAAGACTGTGAATTTGAGGACAGAGTGTATTGACAGTAAGACTGTATCCCAAACATCCTAAACAAGGGCTTGGCATTTAAAAGAGTGTACAGCTCTTCGAACTCACATGCACATATTCCCTCAACTCTCCCCACACGTCTGTGTGCATGTAGACACACACAAACACACACAAATAAATAATAAAATAAATGTTTAAAAGTACTGAACAAAAGCCAAAGTAGAAAATATCTCAAATAAAACTGAATCACAAACTTAAGAGGATTAGAAAAAGAACAAAGCAAGCCACTACTTAACAATTAATTTGAAGTGAGTGTGTGTACATGGATGTTTCTGTGCGCAGAACCACACGAGAAGGGTCGGTGTCATGTTCCATCATTCTCCACATTATTCCAGTGAGACAGGCTTCTTCTTCTTCTTCTTCTTCTTCTTCTTCTTCTTCTTCTTCTTCTCCTTCTTCTTTGTTCTTCTTTTTCAAGAATAGCAAAGGTATATTTTTAATTTTTCAGTCTAAGGAGTGAAGTGCTCACAAATAAAAAGTTCCGAGCGAGGAACTTCAGAGATGATGTGATAGTGTTCTAACTGGCACAGAGTGTGCATAACATGTAGATCATAAAGAGGTATCAGCCATGATCCCACCATGAGGAATTCTGCTCCAGAGAACACCAACAGCAGAAAGGCCAAAAAAGCTCTGAAGGCTGTCCTCAGAGAGATGGAAGTGAATGAAGTTGCTAAGGAAAGAGAGGTAGTTCCATGCTGGGGGCTGTTCTTCAGGGGACACCCACACCCAGAACCATGACAACAGCTGTGTTTCTTTCCCTGTCTTTCTGTGTTCTCCTCTGTGTCCATGCCCAGGATGAAGCTCCATGTGAGCTGCAGTCAGGAGCTCAGTGTGTCCCTGCTGCTTGTGTTTGCCCTACATTACCAACCTGGATATTCATGAAATATCCGCAGGATGGTGAGATTAATGGCTATGATGAGGACCTTACAGTGCTGTGCAGACAGATGGGTGGAAAGATGGAAGGGAGCCACATGGTGCATTTGTGCAGGGAAATCGCTTGCCCTCAGCCATTCTCAATGGAAAGAGGCCCTTTAAAGAAAGGAGGCATTATTTCTGTGGGCTGCTGCTTTTTGGTCCTCACTGCTTTGAGGCCACATCAGGCAGATGTGAGTGGTATAGGGGGAGGTGAAATTTCTGTGAGAAGTGACTGCAGATTCTGGAGTCTGTCCAAGTGAAATTGCCTGGGAGGTGAAGCCAGCTGCTTTCATTTCCCTTTTCTGTGGGGTTGCTGACCTTTCAACAAACTGATGGGGTTGTTCTTAGACCCCAAAGGCTTCAACACCCTGTCCGTGTTGCCTGTGCATAAGCTCAGTTGGAGCTACTGCGAAGAGATACCATGATCTTCACTTTCACAGCCATGCTCTGTCTGGATGAGATATGAAAAGGGGTAGGAGATACTATTGTCTTGAAGAGGCTTGGCACCATAGTCCAGGGCTGACTGGGCTTCAGGGAAGTTCAGGGGACTCAGGAGTGTTTAGGGATGGGAGGATCTGGTCAGTGAGGTTTAAATTCACAAGTAACTCTCTTTTAGGACTGACTATGGGACTCAGGTCTCCAGTGCTGGCAGGTGAGTGTTCCCTGCTGTCCCAGGTGTTTCCACCTCACTTGGAAGCAGGGGCTAGCTAAAAGATTAACAATGGGATGGAGAATATCATAGGTGAATTAATCCTGGAGAAACCAAGAGGGCTCCAAGACTAAACAGCGAGATCTGCATGGGTAGACGTTTGACTAATCCTCTGATTTCTTTGTAAGGATTCACCCCAAAGCTACCCGAAGGGCTCAGCCATACTTCTTGTTCCTCAGAGGTATGAAATCGACTATCTCATGTGAGGAGACCTCATGGTCTTACAAGTACAGTGTATACCAAAAAGAGAAGCACAGAGCACTGGTGCAAATAGACTATGCTGGAGGCTAGGAGCAAGGCTGAGTTTCTCTCTTGAACAGTACCTTTGAGGGTTATATGCTGTTATGAAATCCATGGTGGTTTATCAGAGCATAGTGGCCCTCCTGCAGCTGGTGATGGCACAGAAGATTATATTTAGGATCTCCAGCCCTAGGCTCTAACCTTAGGAAAAGGGTATCCCTCCTATCACAGATCATCACTGTGGCACAGAGTGAATGCTGTGGATCCATTAACACATTCTCTATGTCTCTCCTAGGAGACCCCTACAGAAAACCTAGATTGTCAGTCCTGGATAGCCCTGTTGTGAACTCAGGAGACAATGTGACTCTTCAATGTATCTCATGGCAGAGATACGATGGGTTTATTCTGACCAAGGAAGGAGAGCCCAAGTTCTCCAGAACCCTGGACTCACAGTATGTTTTTACTGGGCATTTACAAGCCATGTTTTCTGTGGGTCCTATGACCCCCAGCAACAGAGGGACATTCAGATGTTATGGCTACTACAAAAAAAAAAAAATCCACAGAAGTGCTCCATGCCCAGTGACCCCCTGGAAATACACGTGTCAGGTGAGACAGCCTCATCAATGACTCAGACATTTCTTGACACCCTAATCTCTATGCCATGAGCTCTGCTGTCAAGGGAATGGGTGCTAAGCGCTGCTTCTACCTTCTAAATCAGACTCCCAGAGTGTGAACGGCAGCAACACTTCCAGAGCATAATGGGTGGTGGCAGATTACTGTGCAGAAATCAATCCAACCCTCAGGTCATAGTTCCAGAGCTGTCTAGAAACCACTGTCACCTGTGAGAACCTATCCTCCTTGGGAATTATCTGTGATGAAACTGTTCAGTCCCATGAAGTGACTTCTTCCAGTGCCTTGGCTGCCAGGTCCATGCTGGGTTCTCTTATGTTGATTTCCCCTCAACCCTTTGGCTGTTGCACATAAACTCAGATCACATGGCCTTTCCCACATGTAGTCAGCCCACTGGAACTTCTGATTGCAGGTAAAGAGCTCCAGGTTCAAATAGGGACTCAAATCCTGTACATACTCTGTGAGGAGAGTCAGAGAGGTGACAGCTGTGATAAGGGATGGGACTCTCAAGGAGCAAGAGAGATGGACCTGCAGATGTTATGGGTCTCAAAAATATTTTCCATTATATATATATGTATATATCTATATGTATATATCTCTATATATTTACCCATGATGTTTAGAGTCTCAAGTGAGGGGGACACTGATCAAACCTTTCATTAATTTTGAAGTGGGAAAATTTTTTTGGTATTTTTTAATCCTTTATTAATTACACTTTACTCACTTTGTATCCCTCCTGTGGTTCCCTCACTCCTCCCGTCCCAATTCCTCCCTTCCTCCCCCCTCTGCACGCATGCCCCTCCCCAAGTCCACTGATAGGGGAGGACTTCTTTTCCTTCCTTCTGATCCTAGTCAATTAGGTCTCATCAGGAATGGCTGCATTATCTTCTTCTGTGGCCTGGTAAGGCTGCTCCCCACTCAGGGGGAGGTAATTAAAGAGCAGCCCAATCAGTTCATGTCAGAGACAGTCCCTGTTCCTATTCCTATGGAACCCACTTGGACCCTGAACTGCCATGGGGCTACATCTGTTGAAGTGGGGAAATATTGTTTTCACACTTAGCTCTTGTGATAAACTTGTGATGAGACTAATATTCTGGATAAATAGGGATCACTGGAGCTGTAGAATTCACTAAGAAAACCAGAGGCAGTTCTGCCATAGTAGGAAAATAATCTTCAATAAATTATGTGATGATATTAATATGAAGGAACAAATGAAATAACATTGATCCTGTGTGAACAGCTCAGGAGTCTTAAGCACTTTACACATTCTACCTCTTTTCCTTGTTTATCAGGAGCATCCGAGTCTATCAGCTCATTGGAAACCAAGACCGGTAACGGGAGTTCTCTATTAAGGGCTGGATGCAGAGAATCAAGTCCTTCTTATCCAGCAGAGCCAGGTGCTGTGGTGGGCATCCACTCACCTGGGAGGGACGTCTGTGCAGCATGATCTGTTTGTCTGCAATCTCTCGCCTTGCACCCCCAGGTTCACATGGTGGATAACATCATTCGGATGTCTATGGTTGGCTTGGTCCTCCTGGTTTTCGGGATTCTGCAGTTAAAGGACTGCTACAGCCAGAGACGGAGCTGATGTGCATCTGGGTCATGAACAGAAGAGACAGCAGTGTGCCTTTCTTGTGATAGATTCTCAGAAATACGTCTGAGGAGTCAAAGCATTTCTGTAGGAAAATCTGGGGCTTATGTTGGAAACTGCTTTCAGTATTGTTCAGGGAGAAAGTGTGTTTTGGGTTCAGCAAGTAGTCTTTGTCTTAGGGTACAGAATGTTCCTCCACCAGATTAGGACTCTTTCTCTTCTCACCTTGCTGTGGGTGTTTGTTGAATGATGCCTCCCCTCTTCTTACCACATGACACCAGCGGATACCCTGTTCTGATGTCTGGGTGGGTCCTTGCCTTCATATAGCTTCTACTTTCTCTCACTTTAATGTAGTGTATTCCTTTATTATAAACTAACACATTTCCCACTGCTCTTTGAGATTTTGTCCTTTCTACAGAAAGAAAGGTGTTTGGCTCAGTAACAATAACTATGAGCATACATCAGATTCCAGAAAGAAAAATAACTGAACAAAAATGAGGTCCTGAAATTGTCCCTGGGACGTTTCACCACGTGTTCATCGTGTGGATTCTCCTAAAATGTAAATACTTGTCGGTCATCAGCATGCTTGGTATTTGAAGGCGGTCCTGTGGGACAACTGTTGACATGACTTTGTAATATCATTTCCTAAAAGAGTTCTGATGTGTGACACTTGTTGATTGCTGTACATAATATAATCTTTTCATGGCCTGCTTCACAACATACATGTAAAACCATGTACAAGAAGTTTCGAAATGATAAATGATATTGATATACTTTCAATCAAATTTCACTGTTAATTGCTGCCATATGCAAGACCAATTGATGTGTGAATAAACCATACTTGAATCATTTTGCTATAATCACTTCTTTGGGGGCTGGAGAGATGGCTTAGTGATTTGGAGTGCTGGCTGCTTTTCCAGAGGACTCTGGTTCAATTTCCAGCATCCCCATGGTGGTTCCCAACTCCAGTTCCAGAGAATCCAATATCTCCTGGCCTCCATGTGTAAGATCATTCATGCATGTAAGCACACACACACACACACACACACACACACACACACACACACACACAC